AAGGAATTTCTGAAATTGATTTCAGAAGAATATTTAATTTTTCAATATTTTAGTTCAAAATCAGACAAAAAATATTCATGATTATTATTTTTTCCTTTACTTGAATGTAGTGTTAATGTAGCATTTTATTTCACTTATATTTATTGTTTACAAGCTGCAGTGCCCGGAGTAGCCGGTGGAATTTTAAAACATTTTTTTAATTTCGAATTTTGAAAAAAAAATTATATTTAGAAGATGATAATTTACATGGTTACACACAAAGGCTGATGCTGAAAAGGCGACCCATAACTCGTATAATATGACGATCCTTAGGTTAAATTAAGTATTATGCCTTACATATAGTATTTTAATTGGCTTCTTATTTAATGATTTTGCGAAGAAAGAAACAAATAGTTGCACTGCATCGTGAATGTAAGGGAACAGAAAGTTTAATTTCTGTACAGTCATCTATCAAGTCTCATCCTTTGTGGGTAACCCTGACAAATATTTAAAAAATTTGTTTTCCTGATTTCTTGATTATAATTATTTTCCCTTTATTTAGTAAGAGCTTAATATTAACATGTTTTCTTCTCATATTCAATTTAAAATTCCTTCTTTTCCTTTAAAACTTTATTTGGTAATTTAAAGATTTAAAAAAAATATTATTTGATAACTTCAAATTTTCATCTTGAAATTTCTCCATAATAAATGAGATGAAATGGATTGGCTGCGATTCAAATTGATTAAGATTAATCAAAAGATTGTTAATAGAAACCTGTAGTGTATAATGACTAATAATAATGACTATAAAGGAAGATATGAACGGTGCTTTAATGGGTTTAAAAACATATGAACCAATCTGGTTTTTACTCGTTTAATTTTTAAGGACTCCAACTGGCTTATTTATTTTTGTATTTTTTATTGTAAAATCCAACTGATTGCTGAGAAAAACCTAGGATGATCATTTAAGGAAAGTTTTTGAGGATGAACGTTTCTTACTGCACCAGTTGTGAGCCTTAAACAGCCAGGAGCTGCCGACCATAGCTGTGCTGAATGGGATGTAGGGTTAAAGCTGGTCCTGTCCACATTAGGACTATGTCCTAGTAATTATTTACTTTTAGTTAATAATAATTTAATTTCATATTACACAGTTTTCTATAATTTCACTGTAGTCTAGGTAGTGGAGGGCAGGGGGGGTCTAACGGGATGAAGAAGGAGAAAAATTATTGAACTACTTAGTAAACTGTTTTAAACTAATTGACAACGTTTAAAAAGTTCGCAAAGTTTTAGCATTTAGTAATTATAATTTGGGATGCCATAGACAAGTTAAACTTTTTAATATGAAACACAATTTCCTTATAAACATTTAAACCAAATGTGTGTTTTTTTCAGAGAAATTTCCGAATTTGTGGACTTTTTAAATTTTTTTAATAATTTTGCAAATACCAAAGAATTATAAAGTAAAGATATTTATTTCAGAGGTGTACACATATTTTGTACTGCAGTAAAATGGCCTGTATCCTGGGCTGTAAAGTAAACACAAGTCAGATGTCACAGCCTGACATGGGATCCATCTTTCAAATAAAAAATCAAAGAAATATTCTGGTCATCTAGGAAACTTTTCAGTGAATTATCTTATAACATTATCAAAATTAAATGTTTCTATCATCCTCTGATAACCGAGTAACACTGATGCATCTATTATAATGTTTACAAACACAGCCTAGAGAGAACTGGTTTCAATATTAAAGGAGAGAATACGCAACAGCAATTAACTTTCCTTGTCTTATTACCTTGGTAAATATTCAACTTACGGGTTTAAATGCATTTCTTCAAAATTTACTTTAAAGGGGCCCTGTAAACCTTTTATCTGATTCGCAGCAGTACCCTGTAAACCTTTTATCTGATTCACAGCGGTACCCTGTAAACCTTTTATCTGATTCGCAGCGGTACCCTGCAAACCTTTTATCTGATTCACAGCGGTACCCTGTAATCCTTTTATCTGATTCACAGTGGTACCCTGTAATCATTTTATCTGATTCACAGCGGTACCCTGTAATCCTTTTATCTGATTCGCAGCAGTACCTTGTAATCCCTTTATCTGATTCCTTGGGGTCATGCGTGTTGCCTCGCTCCGAATTACGACTATTGGATACAAACAGACAAGAAAAGTATATATATTTAGATATATAATTATCTATTTATTTAATCATCTATTTATCTAATTATCCTGTTTTTCCATTTAACTTTTACTCTGGTTGTTGGCAAGATTCATGATTTTTCCTCCGATTATCTAGCTAAAGCAAAAATAAATGATTACTTCTGAACACGGGAGAAATTTTCAAATCATAGTAAAATAATTGAGGATTTTATGGATTTTCTGTTTCTTTGTTTTAAGAAGCTGTCAGCTATGTGGAAATATGGCCTATCAGTTTGAAATAATTGAATATTTTTAGCAGATATCTTTATAACCCCAGAATATTAAATAAACATATGAATATTAATATTTCCTTTGTAAACAATAAAGGCAGCTATATCAAAATCTTAGGCCTAGGCACACATAGGGTTGTTAATCGTTTTTGTAAACGATCGTTAAACGATTGTTTTTTGTTTCGTTTTCAAAAACGACCGTTTCGTTTTCGGAAAAAAACGATCGTTTTTAAAAACGACCCACTCGTTTTGAACTTTTAGAAAACGAATAGCGATCGTTTTTGAAAACGATCGAACCCTGTAAACCTTTTATCTGATTCGCAGTGGTACCCTGTAAACCTTTTATCTGATTCACAGTGGTACCCTGTAATCCTTTGATCTGATTCACAGCATGTACCCTGTAAACCTTTCTAGGAGAACAAATGCCGCGAATTAAAAGGCAACAGTTAAAAGTTAAGAGGGCGCAAAGTGCAAATAACAGCCTCAAAGCTTAGATTTCGCTATTCAGCCACAAAACTTAGAGGTTGTGCTACAGGGTGTCCACGAAATATGACAGCATGCAAGACGACTTAAATAGTCTTGCTTTTTAACATAATTTGCTGCATTTATTTGTTAACCTAATTTTAGAAGTAAATTTCTAGAGATAATAATGACAAAATTTCCCTAGTCCTGCCATTTCCAAAATGTGGTCTGCATTTTTTGTGCTTTCAATATTGCCCGAGATATGAAGAATTTCGTTCAGATTTCGACAATTTTGCTTTTATTTAACAAAATTGAAATCTGAACCAAACTCTTTATATCTCCGGTAATATTAAAAGCACAAAAAACGCAGACCACTTTTGGGAAATGCCGGGGCTAGGAGGATTATGTGGTAATTGTTAAAGTAGATAGACGACTAAATGTCACAAATAAATTCAATTATCAAAGACGACTTTCAAGTCGTTTTGCTGTAATGTTTCGTGGGACACTCTGTACGTGAATCAAACTGTAAACCTAAATATCGTACTTTCAATTCAACTCTGGTAGGTATTAATTTTGTGCTTCGCTACTTTAGTTTTCATTTTGTTTTAATAAGTGATGAAAACAAATTTGTATATTTATAACCGCGGGCCGCGTTGCAATGGAGGGGTTTAATTTTGCTTCTCTTCATCAATAAATTTAAGAAAATAGACAAATACATATAAAAATGGTTAAAATTTATAAGTTGAAGACAATTTCTTGTAGTTTTTGTATAATGGAATTTAAAGTTATTCTTCATGAAAAATAAGGTCATGACCGATTTACAACGGGAAATTTCTTATTTCCTTTCAATTTATTAGCAGATTTCTTAAAATTCTTTAAATGTCGTCTTTTCAATGATAATTCTAGAAAATCTGCGAAAGTCTTTAATAATGAGAAACCAGAATAATGAGAAAATGGAAACTAATAATTGAACAAGATTACTTATTTTCGATGAAAAGGTTAATTTTTATTTTCTCAACATGTTCCTGTTCATGACGTCTGTAGTTTATTGTAGAACTTTTTTTACATTTTATGTCGCCCTAATTTAATAATTTTAAAAAACTAATTCTGAAAACGTATCCACCCCCAAAGTAGGAGTTTTGAACGTCGAATTTGCGCTCAAACTCAGGATTTACAGATCTTTAAAAAGTTTAATATGTCTCAAATGAATCCGAAAGAAGTTCTCCACAAGACTGCATACTCAGTTCAACTACCTTACATAGCCGGTCACTCCCTTTTAGTGAAATAAATCGAAATAAATCCTTATGTAACATTTTAAATTGTTTTTCTGCAGCTACAATTTATTATTGATAAACCGAGACTTAAACTTAATGGACCGGCAATATTGGTGAACATTTATTTTCTTTGATTTTACCAATACTTCAGGAGTATTTCAGAATGTATCTGAATATTCCAGATTATTTCATGTATTTTCATGTATTTTTAAAAACATTTCAGGATTTTTTAAGATATTCAAGGATATTTCAGAAAAAAATCGAAATATTTTCAGATGTCAAAGATACTTCAGAATCAAGAATGTATCGAGATATTTCAGGAATTCCAAGCAATGCGACTGGCTTTCTCATGCCAGACCATTGTGGCCTTTCCCTTCATTCTTTGTCCCTGAAACAACTTCTTTTCCTCTCGGAAATTAAATTGTTTTAGACACAGATAATCATTAATATGTTTTGTATTAACATTTAGAAAACCACGCTTTAATATTTAATTATCAATCCGGGGTCAGTTTTCAATATTATCGTTTTACGTATTTTCCGTGTGCTAAAATGTTATAATTTTTTCAAAACGTAGACATTAGTTTCTCCAGGAAAATATGGTTGAATTCATATTTCATATTTGTAACAGTTGTTGCTTTTATTAAAATAGAACTGAGTTACTTTTATCTATTTTATGCTGGGATTTCCAACAAAAGTTCAATAAAGTAAGCTGAACAGATTATATTTAAATCATGAGAAATAAAAGACCATATTTTACCTAAAGGAAATACAAAGAAAATTATTACTGGTTTCATTTCGGAGTTTATAACACTGGCTTTCTTACTCCCCACAAAAAAAAAATTTTTTATCTAAAAATAACAAATAAATTTTTTTAATTTTATTTATAAAATACACAAACCCAAAACTTAAAGTTCATCTTTATGAAGTTCTTCAACAATATTTATCTTAAAGTTCATCTTTATGAAGTTCTTCAACAATATTTATCTTAAAGTTCATCTTTATGAAGTTCTTCAACAATATTTATCACATTCATTTCTTCAATTTCCTCCGGAGAAAGCTCTTCCGCAACTTCAGCATATCTCCTGACCTCTTCCGCATCAGCTTCCTCATTTCCGGAAACAGATTTAGCCTTACCGGAAGTGAGAGATTTTTTCCAGTAAACCGGGAGTGCATTCCACCATTTCATCCGGTGCTGAAAGGGAAGACCTAAAATGAGATAAAACGTGATAAATTATTTTAAAAATAGTTTCAAAACACCAACATTTAATTGAACAACCGAATAGATTTCTTCAAACTTCAAAATTATGAACAGATGGTTAGGGATTTAGAAAAACTTGCGATCTATAAAGAATTGTGTTCGGATTAAAAGTTGTAAATTATAAAAAAATGTTTGGTTGAAACAGTATATGAGAACACATAAAATATTGATTTAAAGGGACTGTACGCTTAATTTCTTTCAGTGGAATCCCTGATTCAGAACGGTCCCTTAAAACTAAAAGCGTTGTCTGATAATGTCTGAATCTGATATCCATATTTATAGNAAGCTTGACATTTAAGCTTGACAGCCAGCCAAGTCTATTATAAACTTGATAATATCTGACCTTGACTTCAAAGTCTACAATAAACTTCATACCTTGACAGAGTCTACAATAAATTTGACTAAATCATATATTGATAGCAAAGTCTACAATAAACTTGACTATCATACCTAGACAGCAAAGTCTACAATAAACTTGACTATACCATATCTTGACAGCAAAGTCAGCAATAAACTTGACTATACCATATCTTTACAGCAAAGTCAGCAATAAACTTGACTAAATCATACCTTGACATATTGTCTACAATAAACTTTACATTATCATACCTTGACAGCAAAGTCTACAATAAACTTGACTATATCATATATCATACCTTGACAGCAAAGTCTAAAATAAACTTGACTATATCATATATCATACCTTGACAGCAAAGTCTACAATAAACTTGACAAACTTGATTGACTGTTTCTCTTCATCTTCTGACAAAGGTCCCATAGATTCCTCAAACTTGAAATAAAAGTTTCAAAAAATTTAAGTTTTTTAAAATCCAATTATATCAGGGTTAGTTTTTGAAAAATTTAAGAAGCATCGATTATAACGATAATCTTTAACTCTTCAATGCTAGAAGAGGTTTAAAAATTTTGAAATTAAAAGGGGAATGTCCACATTTCCATACA